ATTTTCAATAATTTACTAATTGTTGTACCTGTAGAAACAGACAAACTGCTCCTTATAAAGAGTGCGTCCCAGCCTGGAGCTTCCGACCATTGTGAAGGGATGTTTCTTATTAGCTCTGTGGGAGAAAAAGTGAGTTAAATTTGGGCTAAGTTTAGGCTTTTGAGCTACAGATGGTGAAGAGAATCTCTGAAGGTTCATACAGACCTGGTGCTGTTGAGCTCCTGTAGAAATTTGTCTATAGATTTGCCCGATTTGTCCACCACCTCCAGAATAATGATTATACTGTACCGAGAGAAGATCTACAGGGAAAGTGTAGTGGTCTATTTTAATAACTTCCTATGAGCTTTTACTGTGTGATTTTCTTAAACAATCAGATAATAAACTTACCTTAATAAGATAATTTACAATATTTTTGTTTGACAGTTTGCTTGGACCCATACGTCTGATGTTAAAAGATGCGATCTTCATGGTGTCAACCTTCAGAAGACCAGAAAAACATCGCAAAGTGAAATGAGTTTCACGACAAGAAACACTGGATGTTTTCAGGTCTGTTGGCATTTCTATACCATTTTCCTGTTGTAAAATGCCAAAGGAAGTTTAGCAGATAATTCAAGGATGCATTGTTCATTCACAGGAAGTACTTATAGTTTATAAAGAGCTGACATGTCAGATTATGCAGGACCACAGGAGATCCGTTAGAGACAGAGAGGAAAACCACAACGGGTTTCGAGAGTTCGAAAGCAAAATGTACTCAAAACAACACAAAATTAGTTTTGATTGAATAAATTCATCTAAGATTTGAAAGAAGCTCCAATGCACCAGTATGAAGTGGAAAAACCCCATATTAACACATTCAAGGATCATCATCGATCTTGCTTAAATCTGTTATATATCTATTATTTAATACAAGCTAAACATGTTATGTATTTCAATTTATTTTAATATAAATTAATAAACAGATAATCAGCTCTTACCGAAGCTGCTTGTGTTTACTATGAAGTCTCAAATTGTTTTCCAGTGTTGTCCGTTAGGCAGCTAGTGAATAATGAATGGCTGCTCATTTGAAAACAGGCCATGCCTACTTCCTGTTTTAAATCAGATAGGGTTTCTGTCGCACAGA